GAAAAAATTTTGACTTGTCCGTTAACTTCTTTAGCACAGCTACTTGCATCGCTTAGAAGTTCTCCATTTCGCAAACCCTTTCCACTCTGATGCTGAGCCTGGTCGAAAATCTGGTGAATGCAAAGTCTGTGTTCACAGTAAAGAGGCTGTTTACGAGATGGTAAAGTACTAAATTCGAGGAAGAGTACATAACACCCAATAATGTGCAACTCCAGCCATGGGGTCCAGGGCGGCAGAACTTCACATCACCTGATGAAACTCGCACACATTTGTACCCTGTGCATGATAGATGCAGGGTCGTACGCAACCCTGCTTTGCGTTCAACTCGCTTGTGGTCACTTCGCACTGCTTGCCAGCGTAACGTTTTGGACCGTGCCAAGTGAAGTGAAGTTCTGTCATCGCAGCACCCTATAGAGATTGCGCAGGCAGTTGCACACTCTTGGGGGTTATGTACTCTTGATGCGAGTGGCAAGCTCAAGTTTTAGGGTACAGCCTGACGTGGTCTCACCTGTTGGTGGGGTGCCGGTGTGGGTGAGTGAAATTGTGTAGCGCTCCGGGAGGTACATATTGACCCGCGATCGGAAATACGTGCCCTGGTGTCCGACCTGCATCAGAATGCGGATTGGAACGTGGTCGAGGCCGACAGTGAAGTTATGCGCTTCAAACCACTCGTCTGCCACCTGGTCGTAGTACTCCACCTCTGCTTCCAAATTATGGACGACATACTGCATGAAGATGGTGGTCAGGTTGGGAGTATGCACCATAACATCTGTAGTAGGCGACAGATAGGGGCCGAGAATGGGTGAAAGGATAGGTAGATACAGGATAGGACCAGTAGACTGCCATAGATAGCAGTGCGAGCACTGCTACTGTAAGACCAGATAATTTAACATCAATTAAAGTTAACGGATTTTTGTGGGCTAGCAAGGTGAAATTCTAACGAATTCCGTCTCAATACCGGCAAATGACTGTACATGTACATATCGTTTTGTTCATAACGACTTCAAATGTTTACGAATTTTCTAAATTCGTTAAATCGTTAGAATTAAATGTTCGTTACTGAACTTACAGTATGCGTTTGGTATGGCTGATGCAAAGCTACGGCGGCCAACAATTGCCCAGCCATGATACAGACTGACAGTGCACACGCACACAGTTAGTTTTTATTCATGAGCAGATGTGGGCGCACTTGGCTCACTGCCTCATCAAGCCAAGATGCTTACAGTTCTCACTTTGGGGATTGCTTTCACTAGAACGATGGACTCAGAGTATTGATAGGGTAAGAAGTGGCGACCAGAAACACCCCCAGGTTGTCAAACAGCTCTGATTGCCAGCACAGGAAGGAGCAAAGAGCAATAACAGCAAGAGCTATAAGTATAGCAAAACCTGGCAAGGCGACCACTTTGATAAGGCGACCACCTGTCCCAGGAGACCACTACAACCAGGACCAATGGAGGTTATTTCCAGTCCAATGACCCTTGAAAAGAAGACCACCTGTACACGGGGACGACATTTGCAAGGTCCCTTGAGCCGCCGCCTTAGACAGGCTTCACTGTAATGCATATGCTCGGAAACAGCCGAATACCGACTTGCAGGTTATCACAATACATCATATACATGTGTTGGGCAAGGGAAACCCCATTGCAGGTACATGTGCGCTGGTGGATTGCTAACTCTGGTCACCCTGCCACGCAAGGACTTATATTTTTGAAAACAAACAAACACACACACACACACACAAATGCATGCAAAACACACATTCACACACACACACACACACACACACACACACACACACACACACACACACACACACACACACACACACACACACACACACACACACACACACACACACACACACACACACACACACACACACACACACACACACACACACACACACACACACACACACACACACACACACACACACACACACACACACACACACACACACACACACACACACACACACACACACACACACACACACACACACACACGTGTACACTCACGCATACACACATATACTTACGCATACACACATGCACATGCACGCATGCACACACACACACTCACTCACACACACACACACACACACACACACACACACACACACACACACACACACACACACACACACACACACACACACACACACATCAATTAAATACACACATGATGATTAACAAGCGGCTAGGGCACCCTGTAAGAAGACCATAGGTCTGTGGGGACTGCCCTAGTAAAATATGAATAAATAATAATACTAATAATAACAAGTAGAATAGTAAAATACGCTGTCTTACATTGGCATGTGGTTCCGTTCACACACATCAGTCCCCCCGTGCACATCGGACTACAGCTGTTCTCTGGACAAGAAAACACCAAGATGGAGTGAAAACATGTGTCAGTTATACATACCGTAATGTCGCGTGCATTAGCCGGGGCTTATATGCCTATAAGCCGGTGATGGAGTCAGGCTTGTACACAAGACAGGCTTATACACGAGACAGGCTTATATGACAAGCACCACTCAATGACCAGGCTTGTATGCGCAAACTGCTGACTTTTGGACGTCAAAACCAACATTTCCAACGGGATTTTTTTCTTTTTTTTCGCAAGTGTACGGTACCATGCAAACATGAACATGTAAAAGGCGCGCTCACCAGTCTTGCGTAGTAGCCCGGCTTACGCACGCGACACGTGGCGCGTCTCGTGTACTGGCCCGGCTTATGCATGCGACAGGCTTGTACGCGAAAAGCTGTTGCAGATTTCATGCTTCTACACGAGACAGGCTTATGCACAAATCCGGCTTATGCACGCGACATTACGGTACTGTATTTCCCCGATTGTAAGTGACACTTGATTGTAAGTCGCAACCCCATTTCCAGGTCCAGGTCCATATCACTATCATTATTGTTTTGACATGTTCACTTCAGTAGTAATTCATATTCAATTGTAAGTCGCACCCCATTTGTTGGGAATGAAGTTTAGGGTAAAAAGGTGCGACTTATATTCGGGGAAACTCGGCACCTCTCACCATTGAAGGCATAGTCACATACAGTAATCAGACTTGCCAAGGCGACCACCTGTTGAAGAAGACCACGGCCACCAGCACAAATGGATGCTATGGCCAGTTAAATGAGTCTGGATAAGCAGACCCCCTGGTGATAGAGACCAGGTTGTGACGGCCCCTTGTGTAGAGCTCATCACGATAGAGAATCTCTATCGCAATGAGCTATACGCACAGTTGGTGCGTTTGTTTACTGCCATGAATCGATTCATGAATGGAATCTCGTCGTTCGATTTCATGTCATGAGCCCTGGAATGGGTTCGGAATCCATTCACCCTACTCACATGGGGTGATGTGAATAGCCAGGGGCGATTCATGAATGGATTCAACATCGATTCGTGGGCAAAATGGAACGCACTCAGCGGCTATGCGTGCTGCCAAAAGGTGTGAGAAACTGGTCAAACTCACCTGCCGCAGCTTGAGGGTCTAGCGCTGTTTTCGGCCATCCACGTCATTCCATACATACAGCACAAAAGAAATGAGACGCACAGCAAAATCCAGTCACAATTGCTCATCCTGGCTGCTAGACACAACCATGCATAGTAAAACCTGTAATGGCGACTATTCGACCATGGTGACTACTTTTCCTTGTCACCGACACGTATGTTATGTTTGTATGTGCGCGTAAGCACGCTAGGCTCTGCGCATGTTTGCTTGCACGCTATGCTCTGCGCATGCGCACTCCAGTTCAGACTTCCTGTGTCTGAGTTGTTCTTCTTTCTATCTTGTTACTTTGCACGTCCATTATTCTCTTTGTAAATAATCCTAATACATTCCACAACTGTGTGTTCTTGTGAGTGGGAATGTAACATTGGCGACGAAGATGGAAGACGACAAGCGTCTTCAGAGTTTTGATACGTCAGGCCCAGCTTCCCAGGTGTCCATCCGTTGGCGGAAGTGGGTGAAATCTTTTTAAGTATTATTTAGTGGGCATGGACATTTCGAACAAGAAGCGCTCAAGAGCATTGCTGTTGCACTTTGCGGGGCCACAGGTTCAAGACATTATTGATGACCTACTTGACCCTGACGATGCTCTGCCAGAGGAGCAGAAGACCCCGAATGATAACGAGTACCTGAAATGTACTCTTGCAAAACCAAACGCAGTACACCTGGTACGCATGATTGTAGTCTTGCTAGCAGCCTAGTTCGGGAAATACTCGCAACTACTGTGTTATTCTGCTAAGTAGGGACAAGTAATATTACATGTTGGGGGTCATACTACTGACAGTAGTTTTTGCGAAACAACGACTCGCTCATTTCAAATTTTCAAGAGAGGGATTGAGTATTGGACATACTCATGTTACCCTAACAGTAAAAGGTGTGTTTGGTTTGTACAAACTAGAAAAGGATCGGACAGCTGGTGCACATGGAGCAGCCTCATGCCAACCAAACGGTACTCCAGAAACAGAGCACATTTTTTGTGAAAAATGTGCCAAACTTTGTTCATTCTTCAAAATGTTTATGAGTCACCATGGTCATTTTGTACGGTACAACGGGTCGCAAGAATTTGTATTGTGAATCGGCCTTTACAGTCCCTAACACTTGACATTTTTGATAATCCAAAATGATAGTCCAAGAACCCTTATCATGCAGCAAAAAATTATAGGAACTGATGCCTGAGAGCAGGGATTTTTTCAGTATTTACCCTCATAGGATCTGCCAATGAGCTAAAGCATAGTGCATTTGACAGTTGCCGTTAAAATACAGCAGGGTGCCAATTGTCAGCCACCCTTCGGGGCACTGGCCATTTCCACGGTGATCAGAGGAGAAGAATGGTCGGTTATGGGACCACTCATACATCTATCACATGCATATTCCAGCAAATTTTCACCATTTTGAATTCTCTTCGGTAGTACAACAGGACCTAGGTGCACTCCAGCTTCTCATCGTTGTACATTTTGACTGAACAACCTGCTGTAAAACATCTTGGGCATCGCTTGAGTGGTGCTCCGAGTGGCAAAAATCAGCAAAACTTCAAACAAAAAGCTACCAATTTTGTATGTTGTCCAGCCCGACCAGGAGATCCGGATAACCGATTGTCCGGATAGTTAACGTCTGCACAATCGGTGTTTGACTGTAAAATAATATCCCATCATACCCCTCTTGCGAACACCAAGATATGGCCTGCGCTCCCAGGGTTGCGGACAATCGCCACGCTACACTGCATAGACTTTCTCCCAACAAATAAAGTTGCTTGCGCCAAACAAGCAAGTCGCAATCAAAACTTCGAAATTACGGGAAAAACACAACCTGATCCTCAGTTCAGGAAGGGCTCTCTATATTGGGATCCATTGTGCGTGCAAGGAATGCTTGGATACGACATGTTTGCACGTTGCAAGGTCACATCGTACATAGTGGCACATTATTAGCACAAGCCCTGTTCAGACAGTTAACGGTGGCACAGGACACATGTTACACAAATGCACAAATGCACAACAGTATACTCATCGTGCTGAGGTCACACACAAGGGCAGAGCACTACTTGTGCATGGTAAGAGCACTAATTGCGCATGGTCAGCCTTTTAGGTTAAGGAGCCTTGTCTCACTTACTGACACAGAGAATCTGGGCTTGAGTTTTGCTTGTGGCGTTCTGAAACGTCTGCTTTTGCGCGCTAAACATTACGGTTCTGTAAAGGGAACGGCCATTGACTCGGATTGACGCGACGTGGTAAGGTGCTTGCTGGTGCTTATGCAATAGGGCCAACTTCTCTAGCCAGCGCTCTGTTAACACATGGCCATGTTCTTCTAGCCACTCCTTGGTAATGAGATGATATCCGTACTCCTGACATGCGTCCTCTGCGAACTGCTCAGTCACGCTGGGTCTGTGTGCTGGAGTTGCTGCGGCGTGTACAGAATCGTTGGCCTCGAGCCATTTGGCTGCAAATCAAGGGAAAATACAGTTGCGGGTACAAACACATCATGAAACAAATCTACGAATAAGGGAGGCTTGAAATCAAATTCCCCGCTCCATGACACCTGACCTCATGGATACGGAAGGGCCCAGAGCTAGTGAGTAGTTCAATGTTCACAGGCCTGGGGCTCGCCAGACTTCATAGAGCAGCACCGTGTCACATTTGCGAATCATTCAGCGGTTCTACCAAAGGAGTAGTATAACACCGGGTTATGGCACAAGCATACACATGACATGTTTCTTCGCAGATGAAACTAATTGGTTACTCATGTGTGGATATGACCCTGGCTAGAGCGGTAGGTTTCTCATTGAAGAGGGAAACCTCGGTAGCATTCACTACTCTCGCCCTCTCTGTTTCATTCCTCCTGTCCCACTACTATCACTGGACACACCCTTTAACCCATTCACCGCTATATTTATACATCATTGAAAATGATGCCCAGGCGCTGAGGATGTATATATATGAGTGGTTGCTCCCAAGGTTCCTAACTATTATATAGAGAATTAGAAAAGTTGCCTGACGATTGAAAAAAACTCAAGAAACTCGGAGTACCAGATATGGATCGATCGAAGAAGGATAGATTGACCATCACTGTGGATAAGAGTCATACTGTAGCTCAGTTGGTTAGAGCATTGCTCGCGAATAGCAAAGTCCCTGGTTCGAGTCCCGGTGGCGTGACTGATGATTTTTTTCTTTCTTTCATATCTGGCTTGCAAGTGTTGAGTTTTTCGGAGAGAAAAGAGCAGTACGTGGCATGTGGCCTCTGGTTTCCCAATGCGCTTATAATGTGAACACTATTGGTGAAACACCCGGGAGCTGATAACACCGTTGTTTAGAACACAGACAAACCTTAATTGCACATAATATAAGCGTATGGGCTTCTACCCGGACATGTTCACACAGCAAAAACTCTTTTTTTGCAGCAAATTTTCACATATATGCCCATGGGCGTATATGTGGGGAAGTATGGTATATACCGGTATAGATTATACATCTTTTTCATTGCCAAATAAAAAGTGCAGAGCCTGGGTGCCATGGTCTATAGCCTTAAAGGGGTTAAAACGCAACAGCCTACCTTCACAGATGACATCATGATTGCCTCTTCCATCCCTGTCAAATAGTGCGTCGCTCGAGTTGTCCTTGCCTTGCTTGTAAATAACATGCTGACCAAAGTACATGTACGATGTCCATATCTTGAGAGGGGTGCTGTAGCTGCTGTTACTTCTAGCCATCATCTCGCTCAGCAATGATTTTATGCAGTCGCTAACACCCAGCTTCAAGCCAAGCTCAGTGAAGGAATTATAGTCTACGAAGTTGTATCCTCTTCTCACGCACATCTCGCGGGCGTGCACGAAGTTCGTTTTCTTCTGGCAGCTGCCATCGTCGAGATGTGGATAACACGGCAAGCTGGCAAGAGCCATCCAGGTGTATATTGCATTATTTGTGCCCAGGCACTTTGTCTTGAAAGCTGAACATAACACAGTACACATGCAAGACACAGTCAGGCGAAGTAGAACACAACTGCAGCACACTCTAACACGACGTACACCGACTTTCTCAGATGGATACCGGAGTCCAGTTCAAATAATAGATAGGTTAAGATGCATGTTATTTCCGATAAAATATTGGTTGGGGATTGTCTGAAGCATATTCAAGCGAGGTACAGTCGGGCTTGATGACTGATCAAAGCCCTCGGGCTGGTCCCTTGGGCTTCGATCAGCCATCAAGCCCTCCGTATCTCGCTTGCCGATTATCTACTTTAGTAACGTTACTCTGATTAGGCGTATATGCAAGCAGGCTATTGAATAATTTCGCGGTGACCGTCTTTGCACCGGGTTTGGAGAGCTGAGCCATGGTTAGTTCATAGATAGTGAGGGAAGGAGATGCGAGGGGGGGGGGAGCGGGGGGGGGGGGATACCAATAATTAAACTTCCGAGGCACTTCTTTTGGCACTTGAGACAATTTCTGTAACAATCAAGTGCTTTAGAAGTGATTTACACGACGGCAGGACTCATCCCATGCCTGATGCTACCATGGAGATCTAGTCACATGTGCTCATATTTCGGCGCGAACGGATCCCGGTACGGTCCCGGTGCCATGAGGGGCTGGGGGAGGGGGAGGGGGGGGGTGGTTGGAAATGCATATCGTGACATTCCGTGGTCTGTTTTGCAAGCTCTCGGGATCAAGTGCTTCTCTTCCCGGCGGGATGCACTGCCGTCACGTAAATCGCCTCTTAGGAAGTCAGACAGATCTTGAGCTGGTCTCCAGAAAAGCATGCTGTCTTCAAGCACTAGCTTCCTGTGTCCGAAAGAAGGGGGGGGGGGGGGTGGTAAAACACAGGTATGAATCGGTTCGGAACCCAAATTTGGTTCCGAACCGATTCATAACTTAAGAATAATTGTTGATGTATGCATGTACATGAATGGTCACAATTCCCAGGAGCATGTGAATCAAAGAAACACGAGTATTCACTTCATTTAGAAGTTACTTACCATGTTGGCACTGGTCTCCATGGAAACCTTTCCGGCAGTTGCAGGTGCCGTCTTCAGTACACTGACCATCATTCAAGCAATTGCACACTGCAGTAGAGATTGGGTGCATTCACGTATTTCCCAAAACACACAAATAGGGATAGAACTTGAATAACCTATTGGATTCTCAAGTCGTTGTCGCATGTATCTTGATCATCATGACATTGTATAGACCTCAACATCACCACAAACACTAACACAAACACCCATTCACCAATCCCAGGTATAACCAACTTATAATCATGCTTCGTACTTGAATAGAACACACGTTCAGCTAATAAGCTGGAGAACCAGGCATAAACGCTGGGAAGTACTTTTTCTTGTCTTCAAAAACAACAGTCCAGCACGCGGGTATGCATGGGTCATATATTCTTTGACACGCGGGCTAAAATGGCAGCAGCCTTCTTTAGCCCTTACCTTCTGTGCAGATGGGTCCGTCTGGTCTCGGTTTACATTCACATGCTTTGTTCTTTTTCACCCAGGGATTTGTGCACACAGCTGCATTACATATCACACACAGAGAAGACAAAATGAGAGAGCGGATCAGCCATACACAAAATGGACAGACAAAACGAGAGTGTTGTGGAATTATCCACCACCAGACCAGCGCAAGGATATAAGTTGGACTATAATTATTAATTTCAATTCCAAAATGCACAAGAAGTGTACAGAAGAAAAAAGCACGAACTCGACCAGGCCAGAAGCAAGAAGAACTGAACACAAGAGATTGAAAACCCTTCTCCTCAACAAGCTGCATCACGTACAACGCAAAACAACTGGCTGCACCAGTGTGTGCATCAGCGCGTGCACCAGCGTGTGCACCAGCGCTGCACCAACGTGTGCACCAGCGAAATCAATATCGAAAGTACGTATCAATCATTACATTACATACAACATGCGCAAGAGGGTTACTCTACTTCTCGACGTAGAAGAACGGCATCACCAACGGCGAACAGACAGTTATCAGCTTCAGACTCAACAAAGTCCTTGGAGGACAGCTCAGCTTCCACAAAATCACGGATCCGAGCAGCCTGGCGTTCAAGATCAGATGGAGTCCGGCCCAGCCCAGGAGTAGCCGACAAGAGAACACCGGAGGGCTCCCAGCCAGGCATCGCACACATAGGAGAAATCTTGAGGACAGAGTGCGGACGAATACGGTCGAAATACAGTAACACGTCCAGCTCAGATCGCCAATCATCAGCCTCATCCAACACCTTCCGAATTAAGGTGAGGAGAGTGCGGTTAAATCGCTCAACAGATCCCTGTAATAGGGGATGACTCACGGCACCGTTGAGCACTGTCACACCAAACGTGTCAAACAGCGATGACATCACGGCGTTGATGAATTCCGTGCCATTATCACAGCAGACCACTCGGGGCGGGCCCCACCGCGTACACAGGCCGACAAATGCCTCGGCCACTGATGCCGCGTCACGTTGACGGAGCAGAACCGCTTCCACCCACTTGGTGAAAGTATCCATGCAGACGAGAACACAATGGTACTCTCCACTCTGATCGACGCCCAGTTCCAGAGTATCTATTACTACAACACTCCATTGGGCCATCAGCCACCACAGGGCGACTGGCATCTGCCGAAACGTCCTTGGTTGGGCTGGCAGCAGCACACGGCGAACAGTGGCGCACAAAAAAACTGCTGACATTGGGCAGCCATTTTCGGCAAATAGCACTTCGAGCGGAGGAAGCGCCATGTACCCTCCCAAGACGCATGACCACAGTTCACATGAGCAGCACGAACGACATCGGACTCGAGTGAACTAGGAATAACAGGAATGACGACTGCATCATTGGGCGGCAACTTCACACTTCGACACAGCATACCATCATGGACTACGAGCTGTGACTTGACCTTGACAAACGCAGGATCAGTAACTGGGTCACCATCGATGACTTGCTGGCAAGTCGCAACAATCTGAGGATCTGCATTCTGAGCAGCACATACTCTGTCCAATGAGAATGGACTAACGGTCACCACCGCAGCGGTGACGGACGGTGCAAAGGAGCGTCTTGCCACATCGGATCCAGCTGCTGGGAACACGGGTCAATTGATCCGCTTTGTTCTGCTGACTGCTGATCCACTGGACCTTAACTGTCAAGCCCGTGACAGCGACGAGATCAGTGATAATCTGGAGACGGCGCTGTACAAGTACCTGCTGCAGGCCGCTGACGCGAACACGAGACACCTTGCCAAGCACCGATTGCAACCAAGCAGCCACAGTCTTGGAACCGGTGAATAGTGTGAGCTCCTTCACTTGCCACTGCATGGCAAGGTGCAACCCCTTGATCACGGCGTCACGCTCAGCGATGTTAATGTGTCGCCGGTCGTTCTTCTGCCGCAACCAGCAGCCATCCTCGACAATCCTACTATCGGCCTGAATGACAGCACCATGTGCGATGTCCGAAGCATCACACCACAACGACCACTGTGCGTCTTTAGGAACTGACAACACACCTTGCGCAGGGTCATCGGTCTGCAGACGGTGAATGACTTCCGCACAACAAGCGACGACTTCATGAGACACTGGATCGTCCCATCCAGGCTGAAGGCTAGACAGACGCTTCAGATAACTGCACGCCAGGCGCAGCCAGGAGCCGACAGGATATTGGCTGGTCAGCTTGCCACACCACTTGAAAATCTCGCGCCTTGTGACGGCATCGGGCTGACAGGTCGGCATGACGTCACCACGACGCTTCCACCTCACTTGGCCATCTGCAGACTCTTACAGCAGCAGGCCGAGTACTGTAGCAGAGACAACTGGCTCCGCTGGCTTGGTGGGCAATCTGTACTGCGACAACTGATCGGTGACAGCACGCAGACGAGGCTTCGGAGCATACAAATCGTCGACATAGTTATCCACATCAGCTTACGCACGGAGGACCCACTTGACGATTATGTCCATGAATTTGGGCGCAATCGATAGATGGAAGCCCATCCTCTCCATTGCGAACAGCTGGCCCTTCCAGACGATCGTTTGGAACTTGGCGAGAGCTGGCGCGATGCGGATGTTGAGGTAAGCCTTGCTGATGTCCAGCAACACGTGGCTGTCGGCGTTGCCAATAGACCTCCACTGACACAATTTCTCTTGGCAAACAGGCACGTCCAAACCTGGATGCGACACAATCAACTTGTTGAGTTGCCGGTAGTCCAAACGCGGGCGGACAGGGGTGGACTCCTTGTGTGTCTGGAACACCGCCAACAAGGGAAACACAGCACCAGGCTCACCATGGACTGCTTGGTTATGGGGTACCAACCATCCATTGCGGATCAACATGTCCACTTCCTCGCAAAACTGTGACTCCTACCCTCTGTCCCCCTCTAAGTCTAACACATGAGGACTGAGACCTGTACAACAGGGTTTTTACGCCTGAAAGCAGGTGCATGATTTAACAAGCAGGTTGTCAGTCTAGATTTTATGCGCAGATGGAGAAAAAATGCGCAATTTTTTTGTAATGTGATGAAAAGCAGAAATAATAAGAAAAGATGAAATGAAAGCCTGCTCCGCACAACCCGGTCCAGCCTTGCGAACTGGGTATGGTGGATTAAGAACCCGGGTCAACGCTCGAGCAAGCGCTCTCCACTCCAGGTGTTCACAGCAACTGTTAGGGAAATTATAGAAAAGAAATAATAGGATGAAGTCAAGCTCATTTGAATTTTCGGTTTGTACGGTGTTTGCAGCAGCGCGGATTCGAATCTCCTCACGCATGTTCCTGTCGATGACCCCGAGTACGTTGTCGTGCCTCCAGGTGTATGCGTGTAACGTCCTGGTCCAGCGCTACGCGACAAGCGCCAAACACGTGACGCATAGTACAGGCCCAGGAGAAAGAGAGAGAGAGAAAGAGAGAGGGAGAGAGAGAGAGGAGAGAGAGAGAGCGAGATGGAGAGAGCACGAACGCACGTACCGGAATGCTAGCGTAGCGCAGCTACCTTGGATCGTGAAGGCGTACTTATCCATGCGCTGTTGGGTTTGTTCCTCGCCGAACGGCTTCACCTGTACATTTACAACACCAACGTGTGTTGTTGACACCAACGCTGCAGTCACAAATGACGCCTCAGCACCGGAGTCCAGGAACACGCGAACCTTCGCCTTTCGAGTTCTTCCCTCAACTCGTGCAACTCCGCTCATCAGCCGCACACTTGCTGAGTGTAGACAGCACGATCCAACCTTCTTCTCTGTTACTATCTAAGTCGATTTCTCCCGGCTGTAACCTGCTCCATTCAACACATCATGTATTAGCAGATGGTGCTTCCCCTGGCATTTTGTGCACCTCAAGCCTGACCGATAGTCCCTTGCCACATGGCCATACTTGAGGCAGTTCCAGCAGAGTCTCTCTCGCTGCAGAAAACCTTTCTCCCTTCCTGTGGCATCGACTTTAGCTGCTTCTCTGCATCTGCGACTAGGTGAGAAAGTACTCATTATGTACAGTAACATTGAGTGCCGAAGAACAACTCTCCTTTGCCTAGCTTGAACTTTCACCTGACGACGGACAAAAGCAAAAAATAGCTTTCAATGTTTTGCCAAGAGTAGGTAACAAGCTCATCAGCTCAAACGCCTTACTCTTGAAGAACAAAAAGATTACAATTTGTGTAATGAAACAGGCTGAACACTAAACTCAGGAATAACGGGGTTTCATGTAAAGTTACTTTGTACAGTTCACATCTACTCTCGGACACTAGCGAAATACAATAAGAACAAGAAGCTGAAATCTGGAAAACAAGAACATTGCTGGTCTGAAGCCGGGACCCCATCCTAGGTACCTGAATGCTATTGCATGGTTTTAATTGGCATGAGTAGACTGTAAACATACTCTAAACACACCCTGATAGATGCAGGACTAGATGAAAAAACACAGGCTAACAGCTGGATCTTGAGTACCTAGCCGGAAAATATAAAGACGCTCCGTAACGCATGACAATGGCAGGCCTCTATCAGCCACATGTAAAGTGCTGCCAACAAAATTGGTCTCTGGAAATTGGCGCAATGAGCATAACTTTGGAGTTTCCACATCCCGAACAATTTGACTGTGCCGACACCTCTATACTCATTACAAATTGCTGACTGACCTTGACATTGAGTTCCATTTCCGTGGTAACCTGACTTGCACAGACACATGTATCCGCCATCATTATCAATGCAGATAGCATCGACATGGCATGGGCTAGCCGGCAAACATTCATCAATGTCTGAACAACAGTAGGTAAGCAGAATGCAAGGGGTTACTAACTGATTACATACTGCATTGTAACCATGTCCAGCGTCATATAGGCACAACAAAAACAATTCAAATTCATCAGACAGCTCTAATAGCCTCAATCTCAATTGCTGCGAAAACAATTTGATCTTTTCTCGAGATTATAAACACTTGTGTCGCTGTCGATTGATTCTACAAACTCTGCTATAATCTATACTTGTCCAAATTCTGAAACCAGCAGAACATTTGCACAGATAAATCTTGCAAACTGCTGCTGCACAGATCATTTCAGCGGACAGTGGGGTGTTATGGCAGAAGCAGCAGAGAATGCGGCAAAGAACGAACAAACACAAAAAGGAACTCTGACCAGCTTTCAATACCACACAAGAAAACAGGAAATGGTTTGGTTTGCAAACACTGCACACCATCATCAAGTAGAGCATGAGACTCTTAATCTCAGGGTCGTGGGTTCGAGCCCCACGTTGGGCGCCAATGTTGTAGAATTCCCCCCCCCCTCCCCCCCCCCCCCCCCCCCCCCGCTTCCCGCCACACAAACACTCTCTGACTCATTCAGGCGGGCAAGAGAATAACACAGTTACTTGAACAATATCTCTTGGAATAAATAACTAACTGGTGGGCGGGAGAACGGGGGAGAAGAGACAAAGAAATAATAAACAAAACAAAAAACTAAGTCTGAAGAAAATGTTGAATGACCTCTGCTGGGATGACGACTACACCATAGCTCAGAGATTAGAGCATCGCTGGCTACAAGCGAAGGTCCCTGGTTCGAGTCCTGGTGGTGACAGTCAATGTTTTCTTCAGACTTTTCCCGTTTGTCTCTTTCCCTCAAACCAGTTAAAATAATAAACAACCAACAGTTATAAACAGAGAAAAGGCGAACACATCGAAACGACCAATCAGGGACTAATACGTACAGAACACATGACCAGGCCAAGACAACCAGACCACGGACGAATCACACATGACTCTCATTCCCAGACCAAACTAGCACTGTGCATGTACAGCATTCATTTGACAGTCACTCTCACACAGACGGAAGTACATCCTCACACTCTGACAACGCGTAATCTTGCATGCACCACATGCCATAAACGTCACACATCACACCATACTCGCGCGTACACTTAGACCATAATATTATGACATCAGACACTGGACACCACCAGACAAGAGCCAAATACAACAACATGCGTAAATCATAGTCGAACAGAAATCCGTAACAGTATGGTTGAACTGTGTGCCATAATCATCG